CATTGTCTGCAGGTATATCCAGAGCACATGTGCCACTTCTGGAGAATGGCTGTATGAAGGACTTGATTGGCTCTCTAACAACATAGCTAATAAGGTATGCCTGCAATTTCTGTAAATGGCATTTACACATTCCACAAAATTCTTATGTATTTATCTAACATCTGAACATTTATATTTTATATACATAGCACTCAATTCTTTAGCATTACATCAAAAATACCACCATCAATATTTTCTTAAAGTGAAACACACCTTCTTATTCATAGGTTTATAAAACCAAGGTGTTACATGTGTAAATATTAAATTTTGGGTGTTTATATGTTAATGCATTAGAATTGTGTGGTATATATGTAAATTTCCGAATCACCAATAACTATTGCTAACCAGACCTGTGTATTTTTGTTGGTTTAGAAGATGGAATTTGGTGTTTGATAGCATTGTTATGTATTTGTGTTATAAGTAGAAGAAAAATGCTCAAATAAAGCTCTCACTAAACACGCTGAAATGAACTTATCCACTAAATACTCAATGCACAATCTTCCCCTCACGCTCACAGTCACTCCACTCACTCAAACTTCACACACACACACTTTAAATCCTTCCCCTAACATAACTCCACCCCATATATTATGCTCCAGCATGTGTTAATATACAACTGAAACCATCAAATCCAGCCCTGTATGGACCAAAACCGAGCCAACAAATGTAAAAATAACTTCCAGCATTTATTTAGGGAGCCATAAGAGTAGTAAAGCTGCATAATGAAGTCCCAAATGTTTAAGATGTATATTTACACATGAAGGAAATATCAGCACATCAGAGCTGAAAGTTGGATGAAAGAAGAATAGAATATCCAGCATGTGTTAATTCTATCTATCTATCTATCTATCTATGTATATATATTGTTGTGATATAAGTAGAAGAGAAAAGCTCTCAGCAAAAATGCTGAAATGAACGCATCCACTTAACACGAACTGCACAATCTTTCCCTCACGCTCACAGTCAATCCACTCACTCATACTTCACACACACACCCTTTAAATCCTTCCCATAACATAACTCCACCCCATCATGTTTAAATATACAACTGAAACCATCAAATCCAGCCCTGTAGGGACCAAAACCGAGCCAGCAAATGTCCAAATAACTTCCAGCATTTATTTAGGGAGGCATAACAGTAATAAAGCTGCGGAATGAAGTCCCAAATTCATTTAGGGACCAAAACCGAGCCAACAATGTATATATATATATATATGAAGTCCCAAATTCAGCATTTCATGTAGCAAATAAAAATAGAGAAATGAATTTTCCATTGCTTCTCATATGTGCTTCAGCTACCCAATTCGAATCAAAGCTTTTAAAACCGAAATCCCCAATTTTATAACCATTCAAGTTTATGCTTAGATGGTGAGAAAAGGATCGAACATAGCCGAAATTGACCACGTAAGGTGGAAAAAGTAAATACATAAGAATTATATGATCAGTATGCAAATGCTCTGCATAATCTGCATTCAAAGATAAACCATGAAGGCCCAAATTTTGCATTCGCATATATGGAAATGCCCCTTCAAAATTAAAAGCTCAACGATAAGAAGATGAAAAAAATTACAAAAATACATACAGAGCTCCGTGAGTTCGAATCAAAGCTTTTAACCAAAACCGAAATCCCTAATTCTATAACCATTCAAGGTTTTGCTTAGATGGTTAGAAAAAGGATCAAACAGAGCTCCCTGATCGAATGAAATCTTAACCAAAACCGAAATCCAGCACTGTAGGGACCAAAACCGACCCAAACAAATGAAAAAATAAGCCATAAGAATAACAAAGCTCAAGAATTTGTACTGATTCTTTTATAACCACCATATGAACAGAAATAACTGTGACAGAGATCGAACACGGCCTCCGGGAAGGAAGGAGACGGATATCGGGTAGGGCAAGAGTGAGGGGTCGAAAAAAAAATACCTCATATCACGGATCACAGCTTCAGGCAAGCTCGAAACCGAAGGCGAGACGGGAAGGGCGAGGGCAAGGGGGAGAAACGGGAAGGACAACACGGGAAAAACAACCTAAACGCGAGAAGCATACGCGGAACGGCGCCCCTAACCGGATTACCCCGTCCTTAAGGAAATAGCGGTATTAAAACGACGCGTTTTAAAAACTTGTCATGCGAACGGAATTTCCAAACGGAAGGGCGGCGTTTTCAAAACGCCGCCGCTTCCCAAACGCGCCCCCAAACGGGCCCTAAGTCAATATAAGACATATCTTCATAGGGCATAAATTAGGCTCCACAAAAGGGGGTTCTAAAAAAACTCGTTATTTGCGAACAACTTGTGTTCAGCTTGCCAAGTAGCTTGCAACTGACTTGTTCTTTAAACAAGCAAAACAAATACAAATAATTTTTTAAAGCTCAATTTATAAACGAGTTGAACACAAACAAACTTTTATAAGATCATGTTCAATTGTCTTCTCTCCAATTAAATAAATAAATAATAATATTATAATATTTTTATGTTATATTTTAAAATTATTAACTTTTATTATTATTTAAATCTTTCAAGCTAATTTTGAGCCGAACACGTATGACCTAAAACAACAAACAAATTTGAATGGAGCCAAACACAACATGCTACTCACGAGACATTTCGAACACAAGTCTTTTTTTTTTTTTTAAAGAACGAATCCAACCCGAACAAGCACTAGACTTGCTCAAACTTGGTTCGTTTACACCCCTATCCACAACTAAACAAATGCAACTAAAAATTACTGACCTTGATTGATCTCCGCTCTTCAAGTTCTAAAAGGAACTCAGCTGTGCCAGCTTTTGATTTCTCGGCCTTGGAGTTAGATAAACTACAGGCCCCCATCTCTAATTCCTTTTCTACATCTGCAAAAAGTGCACTAAAAGCACAAAATAATTACATATCTAAAAATTTGTTATTATTTTTAAAGCAATAGAAAGCTACTGAACACCTTTCTTGGGTTCCTTGCTGCCATCCTTGCAATCTCCCAAGGCACTGCAATTTTGTAAAGTTTATGTTTTTCAAGTTGTGGAGAAGCTTCAATAAAGCTCAAATAGCCACTGACTCTTTGAGAAAAGTGGGACATTTTATGTTTAAATGAAGGACATTCCAATAATTTATAGTTTATGCAAATAATTATTTAGCTAGAGCATGATCATATTCATTTTTCAATCTGATATTATCACTAAACAACACTAGACCAACTCACAACAACATAAATGTCAAAAATATTAGGGGCATTTGCATACACGCCACACAATTCTTATGTATTTATGTATCTGACATTTAACCATTCATAATTACATGCACACCATTCAAATATTTGATATCACATCAAAAATACCACAATCACTATCTTTTTAAAAGTGAAAATACACCTTTTCATGTATATGTTTATCACACCAAGTTGAGACAAACGAAAATATCAAACTTTGGGTGTTACATATGTAATAACATAAGAATTAATAGGTATGTTCGCAAATTTACAAAAATACTATTTATTTAGCATGTTTTAACGTTTTTTTGTCATTATCTAGATAACGAAACTAAACACAATTGGTAACAAATGACTATACCAAGCATTTCCACTTTTGCTGCATGAGGAGCCACTTAATTTCTCTTTATTATCAGCTGCATTGGAGGAATGAACAGCAGATCCAAGAAAAACAGCAACCAAAAAGCATCCAACTCCAGGGAACAAAATCTCAGCTTTATTGATTCGACCGTCTAAGAAATAATTCATAGTCGTTCCTGATACGCACCAAAAAGAGCCGTGAATTTTGCAATGAAATATGATCCAAAATCTGCTGGAGCACAAAAACTATGACATTTAACCACCAACTCACATGTCCTCACATTTCCACTCGCTGCTAAATGATTTCATATATGAATGTTGAAACTTTGTAGGTGAAATTTGCTAAAGGTGTGGTTAAAATTTTATTAGCAATCTTGAGCAAGGCTTACTTATATTTTCTAATAACTAAAATAAGTAGCTCACTTAATAACATGAATCTTGAATCGAGTCTGCCATAAAAGTCTACAATGGAGGCTACAAAAGTTTTTGATGATGGTCGATCATTAATGTTAGAAGCTCAATTGTTTCCAATATAAACCCATCTAATCCTCAATTGTAAAATATTTCACAATCACAAGCAAATACAAAGAAGAAGAAGAGAAGTGGAAGAGAAAGGAAGGAAAAAGAAACTCTTGCATAGAGAGTAAAATGAAGAAAGAGAAATCGCATCAATATGTTCTTCTTCACTTCCAACCCTCATCTTCATAATAAATGGTTATATTATCTCTCAATCATTTACACAAACAAAGTAACATCTTTGTCTTTATTTACACAAAATATAATCTCACTCGATTTAGCACTTTTAAAGTTTAGTAAGATATTTGAGCTTTATGAGATTGTGGATGTAGATGAATATTATCGAACCACATAAACTTGTATGTCTTGTATTTGAGGCCTTTGGTGTAATTATTTTCTCATCTTTATTTAATTTAGCTCAAAGTTTTATCGTCATCCTAACATATATCTCTATCAAAGCTCTAAAAAATCTACCTTTCTTTGGTTTATGCAAAAACTTTGAGCTAATATATATAAATGCTCTTAACTTAATGGAGAGTATTGACACAATGGGTATGTAATTATAATAAGAAATGTGAGTATTATTTTGGGATATACGCTTTTATATCACATTATTAGAGATGTCTTCATTTATTTACTGTCATGCATGCTTAATTATAAGCCCAAACTTAATAAAGAAACTCTAATTTTACTCCTCTAACATTAACGATTAAATTTCACGAGTTCTAATTAATTTCAAGAGTTAAAATGGTTGAAATATTCAAATTTGTTATATAACCATATACAAATCAATCCCAAAAATCAACATAAATATTAATGTGTTATCATCATCATTAGCCCATGAACATTAAGGTGAATGATATGGAAAAAAAATGTCGGATAAAAGAAGGTTTTTTAAAATTGTAAAGAGTCGATAAATAAGAAGACAATGATGCAAAAAATAATAATAATAATAATAATAATACAAAGTATAAAGCCATTACCTATCACCACTGTTATGCTACAAGTTATCACTTCTGTTACTGAAAGACCAACATAGGCCCAAGCATATTGTGTTGATAGATTCCCAAGACTCAGCACAATCCCACCAAACATTGCAAACAACACTGAAGGCAAGTTATCCTGCACACAATTTTTTGACCTTCTAATTACTTGATGGCAAAACTTTCTTCCAATCATTCCATTAAAAAAAAAAACAAGAAACTAAAATCATCAGCAGACCAAAAAAACTCATAAAGCAAGAAAACTATGAAAAATTTTTTCCCAATGTAGGTCTAAGTTGAATTTTGCTATATTCATGTTTGATAAAATTATTGAAAACTATTGAATCGATTGAGTTATGCAAGCAGTTGCAGAGCTCAAGAGAAAGAATATGATGTCAAACTAAAATATTCAAAGCTGTTTGGAGTAAAGAGTAGAGCAGCTGGCATTCCATCCTTCTCCATTCATCCATGCTTACCAACTAAATAAGGTTAACTTTATGAATTATTATTCTTCATTCATGCTATATTCATGTTGCATAAGTAAAGAGTTGTGCTTATTTTAGTTTGAGCGGGTTTTTTTGCATAACATTTATGGGGCATACACATACACACCACATAATTCTTATGTATTTACATATCAAAACACCTAAATGTTCATATTTACATGCATAAAACTCAAATTATCAATATTACATAAAAAATATGACCATTTTATCTTTTTAAAAATGAAACACACTTTTTCATACATAAGTTTATGACACAATGGTGATATAAGTGTAAATATCAAAATTTGTTAGTTAGATATGTAAATAAATAAGAATTGTGGGGTATGTATGTAAATTTTTCCAAACTTTTATTCATGTTATCTTTGATCTAAATCATTTTCTTTCTTATAGTTTTATATTGAATTTATCTACCCATCTTATGAGTGAATCCACTGCACTGTTTAGTACATGTCAAAAGCATTGAATTACTTGCTTGCTTGTCTTTTTAAAAACATTTATGTTAATAACAACCTTAACAAAGGTAGCAACACAAACAAATAGAACATAATTATATTCTTCACTTTATCATATTCAATAGATGTAACTCTTAGAGTTCACTTTATAATCATATCAAAATCTATTCTTTCTAGTTCAATTCATGTGTATTTACATATCTAACAACTAAACTTCAATTTTTACATGCATACCATCTTAAGCATGTATGGAAAGGAGTATTTCACTTTTTAAAAAGTTAAAATAGTGGCACTTCTGATGTGATGTCAAAGATTTGCGTAGTATAAATGTAAAAATGCTAAATTTATGTGTTACATATGTAAATTCATAAGAGTTGAGTGTTATCTATGTAAATGCCCCCCAAAAAAAGAAGATTAACATACATACCAATTAATTTCCATCTATCTACAAATCCAACACCTAAACTTCAATTTTTACATACATGCATCCTTACCCATGCATGCAGATGTGTATTTCACTTCTTGGAACCTAAAATGGTGATATTTTTTCAGTGATATGAAAGATTTGGGTAAAATAAAATCAAGATATGCAAAAAAAACATGTATTGATTCATATCATGTGAAGAGGGAAGCACCTGGGAAAGCTGAGCAAAGAAATTAGGCTGATTAGGTTTGTCATCCCCAATTTGACCAAAAGTGAGAGCAATCAGAAATGCCGCCATGAGATTAGTAAAGGAGTAATCAAGATATGTGTGTTGAGGAAGACGACCTCTTCTCTCTAATAGTGTCAAAACAGCAGGCCATGTCCCCAAAAATAGCAAAGAAACTATCATTAGAGCAATCGCTCCTCCTTTATCTTCAATTACATACATCTTTCAAATTTTCAGAGATAAAACCTGCAAATTATATAAAAAAGCGATTTTTTTGCTTTATTCATTAGGCTAAAAAGCTAAAAAAAAATACTCAGAAGGTACTGATTCATTGAGGAGAGGAGGAACCAACAGAATCTCACAAGTATATGAAAGTTAGGAAAATCATTAATTCATGCAACTCATTCGATTAGGGTTCTCAGAACACTAATAAGCAAATACAAATGAGTTAAGGGAATGTGATGAAAAATACGCATGAAGGGCCGAAGGCCAATGAAACTTCGAAGAAAGAAGGGAGCTCACCGTAACGCAGTGCAGATGGCAAGTGCTGATAAGAAAACTGTTAGAAAGTTGCAAAAATGTCTTTTTTTTGTCTTTTTGAGATAGATTGACGGGCGCAAAAGTCAGGGATATTTACAATATTACAGACATACATCTTATTCTTATGTATTTATATAGATGACAACTAGAGTTTTTTATTTTCATATCACACAAAATGATGGCTTTTTAAATTTTTTCAAAGCAAAAAGTGTTTTTTTATAGACATATATATAAAAATTGAAGTTTGGGAGTTAGATATTTAAATTCATGAGAATTGAAGGGTGTTTATGTAAACCTTTCATAATTAAGAAGATGAGTTCCCCCATGCATTAAAAAGTGCAGAAATCCAGCCGCATTAATGTTTATTTATTTATTTATAAGTCCGTTTTGCATGTGGTCGACAAAGACAACGAATCCAGCAGAAATTCACGAGTGTGAAACCACTGAAAAGTCAAAGAAAACCATCCATTGAATAAAAGAAAAAAAAGCAAATTGTCAACTTTGTCCAAATTATTTATATAAACACATTTTAGCACTAAAAATTGCACAAATATCAAAATAGTTCCAATATTATTTAAATTAAGATTAAAATAATCAAAGAATATTAAAATTTAATTTTAAAATAATCGTGAACTTTTTTTACACTTCTATAAACTTTGAGACTTAATGCTCTCATATAAATAGTCGAGTATTATTTTAACACTTTACTCGGTAAATAAAAGAAAATTTACACAATTCTTATGTATTTACATACCTATTGTCTAAAATTTGATATTTACATTTACAACACTTTGGTGTTAAAAATAAATATATATACTTGAATTTTTTTAAAATTAGTACATGCGATGTCACAATTCTGAGTGGCATGTATGTAAATATACAAGAATTGTGTGGCATGTAAGTAAATGCCCCATAAAAAATTAAATTACTTGAAAATTAACTAAAAAACAGAGAGATCAGTCAGTGTACAATCGTTAAAATCAACTGATTAGTTGTTGCTACATGTCTCTGTATGACTTCACGTCTCTCTCTTTCCTTGTCTTTCATCTCACATTTTCTCTCTATATTTCTTTTTTTTTTCTCATTTTTTAGTTCTCATATAATAAATAAATATTATTTTTAAAATAATATTCAAATAATTCTTATATATAAATGTATATAATTTTTAAAAATAAAAAAAAATTATTTTACAAATATATCCTCAACCCTCAATTTAAATTTATGCATAAAAATATGCATTAAACTTTTAAAAAGTGATATTAATGCTATTTTTCATAATATTACAGATTGGATCCTCTTTGTTTAAATATTAAAATTTAAGTGTGAGATATGTAAAAATGCCCACTTATTTTAATTCTTATTTGATCTGATGAAAAAATGTAATTGTTTTAAGTGGAATTTTTGTATAAATAAATAAATTACAATCTTAATCATCATACCTAATTAGTAATAAAAAATAGGGATATTCACAAAAAGATTTTATTCATATCTAGCTATTTTTAGTTAATTTAAATCGATTAATATAAATAAATAAATAATCGGTCAAGCTTACTTAACATGCACAAATACTAAAACATTTTATTTTTCTCAGACTTAATTACTAATTAATTAGTTTCATACAAATAAATTGAATTATTTTATTAACTTGTAAGTTAATTAATTCCACATATAATTATCAATACTGTAAATATCTATAAAAATTTATTCATGTTCGGCTCGTTCGCTAAGTTAACGAGCCGAACACGAACAAAACTTTATTCATTCGTGTTCGGCTCGTTTTGGCTCGAAATACTACTAATCAATTATATATATATTTTTTATGAGAAGTGTTTTTAAAAAAAATTAATTGACCACAAGACTACAGAGATTTATAATCAAATAAAAGTATTAATTAAGAAAATAGAATAAATATTATTAAATTAGATTCAAATGATGTTTTAAATCTTGCCCAACTCCTTAATATCTTATGGCTACGTGATTTAGGTTGTCAAAACAACTATTTGTTCGTGAACGGCTTGTGAGCGAGCCGAACACGAACACACTTTTTTAGCTCATTATATAAACGAGCAGAACACGAGCTGAGTCTGGGCTCGCTAGTGATCGGCTCGTTTACACCCCTATTTACAAATTAATCACCCAGTGATTGATTTTTTTGAACTATAAAACTCGAGTATTTACACATGGCATGATCATAAAGAGCACAGATCATGACCATGCATTTACCAAGAATAAATTTGAATAATACAGAACACAAGAGTTTTTAAGAAGTAAAAGCATAGATGGCGATTGACGAATAAGTACAAAGCTTAAGTATATCTATACTCGTAGTGACGAATAAGTACACACATAAATACCATTTAATTCCTATTTATTTATATATCTAACACCTAAACTTCAATTTTACATACATTCCAAGGATGCAAAAATATATTTCACTTTTCAGAAGTTTAAGAGTGATATTTTTAATGTGACAAGCAATCTGTTAAAGAACAAAATAAAATAAAATAAAATAAATCATGTAATTCTAAAGGGGTGCTTGCTACAACCCGGCTTTATCAAATGCAAAAGGGTTAAATCCATCAGAACATTTGGTTTGATTAAGGTTAAATCCAACTAAAATCCCTTCGATGCGTTCGGCGACAACAAAGAACATGCAGGTGTGTTTTATTAAAAAAAGCTATCCATCTTCATACCATGTTGAAATCCAGACCAACTCTCAGAGTTCTTGCTTGGGGAATCCATTAAGAAAATTACCAAGAATCCTCTGATCAAAGACCATGTTGGGAACCTGCAATAAGAAAAAAACAGTTAAATATTGCCTGATGCCAACTAATTTGGAGAGTGAATAAATAAAGCCAGAAAAAATCGTAGCCTTGTCCCCAAAGAAGATTTTTGAGTTGTTTGCAATGGCTTCAATGAATTTGAGCTCGAGAAACTCGGGTGTAAGCTTCAGTTTATTAGCCTCTGCTTCCCTCAGCACCCTATGTTATATAACAAAAAAAAACCCTCAGCATCAACTAGAATGTATATATAAAGAGATAATTATATAGAGACCCCCCGAAATATTGACATTTACAAATTAAACACTTTGGTAATTTTTTTTTTAACTACATAACCGATGTAATTACAAGTGCCACAATCAAAATATTGAGAATTTGATAAAAATGAAAAAAATGGCATTTTGATATTTGAGTGAGAATTTGAAAAATGGATGGAAGTGGGTGGTTGATTTGTAAATAGCAAGTTTCGGGTGGTCTGTATGTATATATATTACTTACCTGTAAAAACTTGCGTCTGCTTGGTTTTTTTCACGAGCAATGTACATTTCATTTTCGATAGCCTCTTGCTGTTTTAAGCTGTCCTTTTCCATTAATTTCTGCTCCATGAGAATTTTGCTAACTTGGGCATTCTTCTCTGCTTCGGATAAAGCTATCTTCTTTTGGGTCTCAGCTTCCTTCTCTGCAACCTTTTGTGCTTCTATGGCGATCAAAGCCTATGGGAATGAACCCAAAAGTAGAACCATACAAGTTATGTGTTGAGACTTGCACGAAAGATTTTGGTAAGATTTACATATATACCACTTCATTCAAATGTATTTACATATCTAACACCTAGACTGCAATTTTTGCATATATGCCACCGTACCTAAGCATGAAAGTGTGTACTTCACTTTTTAAAAGTTGAAATAGTACTATTTTTGATGTGATATGAAAGATTTGGGTGGTGTAACTCATAAAAGTAAAGTTTAAGCGTTAGATATTTAAATACATAAGAATTGGTTGGTATGCATGTAAATGACCAAGATTTTAATACCTCTTTTATCACTACATGAATTATGTTAGGATAAGCACAAGGCTAATTGATGCAAACAACAGAATTTATGCTGGTCACAAATGTAGGATGAAAGCATTGAGATGAGCAAATCATTTTGAGTTGGATTTTGTTATAACTTAATTTCAGATTTCACTAATACTGATTCTCTTGGTTGATAAAGTTTTACCGCATAGATTTAAGATAAGTAGATTTAGGGGCCAATTGGTAGGCAGTAAAAGCAGTACATCAGATTCCTTTTGCGGAGGTTTTAAAGATTCAAGAGCTTGATCACAAGAAAAATAAATGCAGTGTAAAATTCCAATGTATTTGGAATTCATTATCAGTTCATTTTTCACATATTTGAAATTCGTTGAATTTGGGCAAATTTCAAATACATAATTTTGTGTAAAACAATGTTGCCGCCTGTCATCATTGTTTGATGCCACATACTGCGTATCATCGTCCACCACTAGCCTACAACCGTCACCCGCCAGTTGCCATTGTTGTTGTTGATCTTAATGGATCTATTTGACATTGAACTTATTTTTATTGAAACAAAATAAAAAAAAATACAACGTCCAACCTTTATTTTATACGGAACCCAAACAATTCTAAAATATTCAAAATACAAAACATTACTTTAACATTGCATTTATTTTTCAGCAAATCAATCAGTTAGTTTTCATCGGATTCTCTGATTTACTTGTTCCCAAACCTCAATTTTAACACAAGGTCAGTCCTCTGCATTTTCATTCGGGCAAGCGTCTTTGTCAAGCACAATCTGCACCTAGTTTGTCATATTCTAAAAGGGATCCTCAGCAGAATTATTTCGTTCTATACATGGTCCTCTAAAGAATCACCAGTTGCAAATTTTTAGGTCTGCTGGCATGTGATTGCAGCACTATGTATAGATGAATTCCAAAGGTCACTAAATTTAAGCTTCCAGCATCACATTTTTATTGCCACCGTATCAGCTTCTCCTTTGGCTTACCCTCGCCTTCTCCATTCAAGATTTGTATTAATAAATCTTGGGACATAAGAGATCCTAAATCAAATTTGGTGATTAGAACCCAAAATTTTATAATCATGTCAACACAAAATAGTGCATAACAATTAAGTTAATTAACAAAACAAAAAAGGTTTAATGTAAACAAAATCATTTAAGTTATGGCTCTAAGAACTGCAACATGACTATCATGAGGATTAGAATTATATTTTATATTTGATGGAAGATATAATCTTAAAGAACAATGAAATTGGCTTATTTAAAAGATATATTTTTTTAATGTTATAATATTTGTAACTCAAAGTGTTGAAAGCAATAAATCAAAATTAATTGGCATGTTCAATATAGTTGTTGATGTGTTGCTGCTAAATCTACATAGCTAATATGAAATATAAATTTAATTGAAAATATTTTGCTTTATAGGGATCAAATGCATGATCCATTTAACAATTATAAAGTAATTATGATTACTATGAATACAACCAAAGATTTATAGGTATTGTAATTAAATAGTACTAGCCTCTAGATTATTATGTTTTCATTATTTGCTTCATTAAATGTTTAATACTTGAAATAAAGAATGAATTAGCTTGTAATTTATAAAAAAATATTACACGAGGCTTTATGCATGGCTGTGGATATCAAGAAATATTACACTTGTACTTAGTACTCTTGTAAAGAAATTTTAGCATCCCCTACAAAGATTAAAGGGTATGGAATCCACACCAACACAATAATCAAATATGGTTGAAAGCGTCCCGTTGAAAATACTAGAGCTCGTTAACAATCTTTTTATGATTTTTTAAAAGCAAAAGATGTTTTGAAGTTATAATATAAACTACATCTAATTTCGATGAATCTAAATATACACCTACATTGAAATATGTTCATGAATCTAGAAGCTAGAATTCACCAACACTCAAAACCAGGTTTAAAATTAATTATGAATCTAAACCTCAGTTAGAAATTGATTTTCTTTAATGGAAACATTGGGAATTCCTTCACACTAATGGAAAGGAAAAGAGTACAAAAAAGAGCTTTAAGAAAAAAAAATAACAAAAAATAACATAAAAAGCTGAGAAAATAAAATTAAAGAGTAGCTCTAAAAGAATTTTGAGGCAATTCTGGAAAGTTTAAGTTTATGCTTTTCTGTAAGATTAGATACTTTATTCTCAAAAGCAGATTCCAACAAAAATATGTCTGAAATCAAGCGCACAAGTGAACTTTTTATCCTCCCTGATGGTATTAGAAAAGCGTATGCTGTTATTTTCATTCTAAATGTTCAAAGGAGTCCAGAGCAAGAAAACCTCTTAAATGTTTTAGCATTGTAAGCGCTAAAAACAATTTCTCCATCAAGAGAAGGCATATTTGAGTGCAACAAAATTATACGAAACCACAAGGACAAGTCCAAATATGTAAGGAAAATCTACACTTAAAGAACAAATAAGAATCATCCAAAGGGGATGTAACACAAGATAGTCTATGAAAATCCTAAAGCCAAAATAAGACGGAAAAATTTTGGTTGGAATCTTTGCTAGAATAAAAAAAATCACCTAGACAAAGCTATATCCAAAGGACCAGAGCCTATTACATTAAAAAATGAGTGATAATTTCACCATTTATCAAAATATAGGGGCATTTACATACATACCACATAATTCTTATGCATTTACATATCTAGCACCGCACCTAAACATTCATATTTCTAGCACCTAAACATTCATATTTACGTTCATACCACTCAATTTTTTAACATCACAAAATACCATTGCTACCTCATAAAAGTGAAATGCACCACTTCATGCATATCTTTATGACACCAATGTGTTATAAGTGTAAATATCAAACTTTGGGTGTTAGATATGTAAATAAAATGAGAGTAGTGTGGTATATATGTATGAGAGTAGTGTGGTATATCTGTAAATTTCCCAAAAAATATATATATATAAATCTGACAATAAAAAAATATTTTAGAGAAAGCAAACACTTAGGAAAGTCGATGTCATAATTCAATCTAATTTGATTCAACTTGTGATAGAAACTAGAAATATCATTAAAAAAATGAAAAAAAAAATGACATCTTTCCCTGAAGATTACAACTAGGACAGGAAAAAAGAGATTTCACCAAAACAATCGAGATTTAAAGCATAAAGAGATTTGGATGAATCATGGCTAAAGGCAAGTTATGGATCCAAAAATCTTTTTAAAATTTTAATTTTAACGTTGTTATTAATATTTTAAGAGATGAGATAAAAGAAAGACTACAGTACTTTTCTGACATATAATAAAATAAGAAACAAGGAGCCATTATTGACCTTATTTTTGTAATAAGTTTGACTAGGCTTTAGCCTTGGTGGGCTTAGCCTGATGCCTTCTCTCATACCCTCAACTTAAAGGATTCAAACCTTCCCTAAGTCCAATCAGGCAGACTCCCATTTGAGTTGACCTAGCCAAAACAAAGTTTCTCACCCTTTTTCGAGTTAAAATAGACCAAACATCCATTAAACTATATCCCCATTCAACATTTCTACTATTTTCATAATCTATAAGATCCCGGGAGGATGTTAAACTTAATTAAAAAATGATTTCAATATCACTAAGATAATCAATCATTGAATCTCTCTCCCCAAGTTTGATGGCATGTGAATGCTTTTACCATACTTTAAGATCCTTTCTAGTGAATCTAAGCTTCATGACAAGACTTTTAACCTTCTCACTTGAGTAATTTTCCAAACAATCAATGCACACATTTTTGGAGCCATCCAAGCTAGGCCAATGTTCCAAAAATAAACATACGACTGACGCGGGCGCTACAGGCACCAGCCGGTTCAGCCGGCAGAGCAATAATTCCCACAGGATAAACCCGTCTATTGGACCGCGGGGAGTTCTCGCAACTTCTATACGGGGTGAGACTACCGCCACTCCTATCCCTTCCTTACGTGCTCTTTTCCATATGGGAAGTCTTTAACGGCTATGTTCTGGATTATTCTTGCATTCCCACCCCTTTCTTTTGTGTGGGAATTTCCTTCTTTACTTATTTCCTTTTTTTCCTCCAATAAAAGTCTATAAATTGTTATTTTCTGGTCATAGGGTTCAGTTTTTGTTGTTTTCAGATTCCAGATTCCAATTTGAAGCTATCCTCCCTATTCCAGGGTTGTATCCGAGTAGATGGTGGTGCTTATAAAATTGAATCATGCTGGCTAAAGTTGATGATAAGTTGCTAATAAAATTATCTCCAAGAATCAAACTTCTCTATTCTTTGTTCTTGAGACCACTGTTGTTTTCTATTCTTGATTTCTTTAGCAAAAGATTTAAAAAAAGGAACTTTTGGAGAAGTTGAACGTTATTAATATTATAAATGATTTGATAATGATGATTTAAAAAAACTCAGAATTCTAAAATCTCAACTACCAAATCAATATCAGAAGTGCATAATTTATCACAGCTAATTTTTAAGCCATTAAAGTTAGTTTCCTCAAAGAGGCTAACCACCCAATAAAGCACCAGCACATCTATGTGGTTTAATCATTTTAAATTTTCATCATCATTTCGTACTAATGTTTGGAATATAACAGAAGAAAAGGTAGGTGATTAATAAGTTTGATAATGAATATCAAATGCTTAATTCACCGAATTATTCCAGACAAACCAAGCAACAAAGTTTATACTTAATAGAAATGTCTGAGGGGAGAGTTGATATGAGCAAATCAACATTCTACTTTTTGATGTAACTTAGCTACTTTATTTCGTAGTTTTCTTTTATTCTAATTTATTTTGATGCAACATACCTACAAGAAAGAGATGAGTGCTTTAATATCTAAGGTTCAATTGCTTGATTGGATTTATTGCTTAGACTATAAGATGATTTGGTTCTACTCCAATTGGATTACATGGATTAGTTATTAACAAACCTCTGTTTCAACACGAGATAGATCCTCTATGTTCTCCTATCTTAGTGTATTCCTGTAAGCAATAATATGCCCCCTCTTTGTGATATTTTGTTTCCTTGTACACAGGATCCACCATAGAACTATTTCCTTGGGGCTGCAAGCATGTGATTAGGTCATTGTAGCTGAATTTTGAAGATTGCAAAATCAGGACATTTTGTTTTGCACTATCACGGACATTAGAATTGTGAAATCAGGACTTTGTTGTTTTAGCTATAATCCAGAATGGTTAAAATTGGGACTATCTACTTAGCCAAACTATTGTGTTTTACTCATCTTATCATGAACCTTTATTAGTAACTCCTAAATCTTAAGGCATCATGCATCATTATATTAATGAAAAAGAAAAAGAAAAAGAAAAGATGAAGATGGCGATGATGATGGCGGGATGAACATTTACTTATATTCAGATGACATTTCTAAATTAACAATTTATCATCATCATTAATTAGCCTTAGCAAATGATATTTAGTTTAAAGACATATAACATTTCTCAATTAACAATCTATCAGCATCACTAATTAGCCTCACCAAAATAATTTAGGGAAAGTTTCATGAACTTAAACAACGAACAATTGAATTTAGTAAAATAAGAAACATTGTCAAAATTGAAACAGATGACATATGCTAACTAATATACGTCCTCGAGGCAGCAAATTATCATTCAAAAACAGCAAAGAAAGTATTGGCATAGTTGTGCAAGTTCTTAAAGTGCAGAAAGGTCTAGAAACGCACACATTTTTAAATGAAAGACGTCTAAATGTCATATTTCAATCTAACAATAAGATCAAAATAAACAGAAAAAAAAAGGATAAACATGGTGCAAATAAATAGTTAAAATATAGATCAATATAGAATAATATTCGGTGGCAACTGTATTACAGTAATAACTAGAATAACAAACAAATCAATGGTTAGAAAAGACCCTGAAAGAGAAAAGTTGAATATTTAAAAAATGGCATCAATGACTTGAAACATTTTTCATTAATGAAAACATGACTCCGGCACCTCAAAAGAAAATAGCCGCTAAAATAGCAATGCAGAATGCAAAGTAAAAAAAAAGCATGTCTCATTGAATAGCCAAATCATCAACCTTATCCCAACAATCAGTGGGTAGCCACTGTAGAAAAATGCATACCTTAGTTCGTTCCTCCTCCATAAGTTCAAAATTGCGCTTAATAGCTGCAGGAATATTGGGTTTTGTAACTCGAACACCTATAATTTCAACCCCCGGAGCATATTGTGTGCAGTCTATCTGAAGAGCTTCTTTCATTTTATCATCAATCTGAAGATTTAGAAAAATAAAATAAAATAAAGAACATAATGACAATTTCTATTAATATTTAGCTGGCAAGCCATGGTATTGTTTGATTCAATGTTATAATGTGAGTCCTATCAACTCTACCACCTATATAGAAAGACTATGCATTGGACACCCATAGGACTCATGACCTAAAAATAAGTGTAGATAGCCTAACAATGCTCAAAATAATAACTTCTAAATTTTTCTAAAAGTATCTATATTTTTCTTGAGATTTTTCTTTTTCCCTAGTTTCTTAGTTTCAATTTCATTCAAAAAATCATAAATAATTAAAAGTATATTGATAGTGGAGTTAACCAAAACCACAATAGACAGCCAATATTATTACTGAAAAGGACAATAGAAAGTTACAACCAACACAAATAAGGAGGCATAATACTCAACTCAACTAGGTGTGAGTCCCAAAAGGAAAGGAAGGTGGTTGTGTAGGATGTACGGGAAGTTGGTGGTGAGCAACAGGTTGGGTAGATGTAAGGTGTTAGAGGTTTGTAGGTGGGAAGATGGGGCTGTGGTGGGGTGGCTGGACTGCAACGGAAAGGGAACGAGTTATAACCGTAGCACTTTCTCACCTTTGGATACAACTCAAGATGAGAAAAATCAGGATGCTGACAGCTGTCCTAACAGAAAATCGTACAAAAATTGTGAACCTAAAACAAAGGACCCACATAAATAAGCCCTAGATACTTAGGATTGGGTCTCCTATGGAAAGAAGGCGTGAAACCAACGTGGGAGTGTTGGTTGGCCCTCTCAGGTATGGACTGGTTTGGTCCATACGATAGAATCGCGGGATCAAGCTCCCACAGCTCTTTAAATCGACGCACTATAGCATAAGAAGGGGTAGGGGGGTATTTGCGCGTCCCAGTAGCTACCGTGCCATCTATATGGCCCTTGCAACTCACTCAAGTGTTCGTGAGATGTTTGATGAGCGATTGATTACAAGGATAGATTTGCTCACTTTTTGAGATGATTTTCAAAATAGCTTGATTTGACTTGATTCCCCCCCTCAATAATGTAAGTTTAATAATATCAAAACTAATCTAATTTTAATTTTTCTTTTTCCAGTGATGACTACCCTACCATTGAAATGCTCACACAACGTTAGAATCATGCACATATGATTACATTTAATCATTTACACGTGTTTTGGCTTGTGTTGATTCATTTTACATTCATTTTTGAGTTGGCTTGAAAGTACGTGCTAAGACTTAAAGTTTTGGTGAATTATTGAAATGATATCATCTTCGTATTTTGTTCGAATTGATGCCTAGATAAGTAATGAAAAGCAATAATTTACGTATAGAAATTGAGGCATCATGCAAGTCATTTTCATGTTCCATTTTAGTTTGTTGTATGTGAGGAAGTATGTTATGATGACACCTACGGATAATTTAGTTTTTATTAGCCCAAAGACAATTTGATAATTTGTCATTTATTATTGTTTAGTATAAATATAGCTAATATATTTAGGGTTAGGGTTATGCAAAAGATAGTTCTGTCAAGTCTTAGGGTTAGGGTTTGGAAGAGATCGCTTACCTCTTGAATTGTAGGATTTGGCAGAGATCGTCTATCTCTCGAATTGTAGGATTCGGCGATCCTCAAATTGTGGTGTTTATCTTTATGTATTTGTATTGTGTTGTTTGGTGTTTCTGAAATAAAAAATAAATTGTACACTAATCTCTGTGAAAAATCATATCAATTCCTACGTCAGATCATATCAAGTGGTATTAGAGCATTGGATTTTGAGAAGAACGCAATGCTTTCATAGGAATTTTGCAAGAGTATCCTTTGTGATTGAATCTTGCAATATAGTTGCAAACCAACAAAGGGATCGGGCCTGGGAAGGTATCATCAGATCACGCCTATGAAGCCAAGAAAGGATCGGATTGCGGCAGGAAGCAACGTCGAGATCGTGTGTATTTGTAGTCATGGTAAAGTCGTGATTCCATCTAGCTAGGAGTACACATAAGGGTCGCGGCGTATGGATCGTTGCGTACAAGGACCCTGAACATTGTGATACAATTGCGAATATAGTCAACATGGAAGTCGACGACGGGATAGTGCATGACCCTTATAGTTGCGATTGAGCTAGATGAGACGGAACTACAGGACCGCGGTGTGCAAAGCATCGAATCACGGCGCGGTAAGGGTTGCAGCATATAGATGATGCTTTGTGTGACCTCACCTCTCGAAATTGTCGCGATTGGAGACATCGCGACATACCCCTGCGGTGGATAAACGACTTCATCAACTCACCCCTCGATATAGTGTGGATCGAAGCAATAATGAGATCAAAGCTATTAAGTGTACAAATGCAAATCTAATCGAAGACGGCTTATGACCTCACGCAGTAGCCACCAACGAGATGTTAACATACATCAATTCCTCCTCCGTGATCAAAACCCATTCTAGAGGAATGGAGGCCTAAAAAGTAGAGATTTTGGAGAAGAAATGGGAAGAAGAGATGAGCCAAATTAAATTCAGGATGGAGAAAATGTTCTCCTCCATAGAAGGAAGTTTTGAGAGCCGATCTGAGAGCTTGGAGAAGATGCTGAGGAAGCTTATTGAGATGAAATCCAAGACCCAGTGGCGGTTGTGTTTGCAAACCCTACTTAAGGGTTGCTCGTAGATTCATTAGTTAAATCGAAAGGGAAAAGATTAGATAGAACCATCACTAGGGCTCCGATGGGGTTTAGATTAGAGATTTTTTATGGAGGCGGTTGGGCCGAAATACGGAGAGAGGTTATGCAAGGGGTATGGAGGATCACAAAGAAGAAAGAAGAGAAGCAAGGATAGGAAATGTCTATGATCAAAGGGAATATTAGCATAGATACACGGGGGAAAATAGCGAAGGGAGAGGAAGTTAGGGCTCAAATGCTAGGGTTAGGAAATTGAAAATGTCGATCTTTGAGGGGAAAGATGCACATTGATGGGTTTACTGAGTGGAGCGATATTTTGCAGTGAATGTGCTAAATTGGGAGGAGAAGCTCATGGAGGCAATATTATGTTTAAAGGGGAAAACCCTAGCATGATTTCAGTGGATTAAGACTAAATGCCCGATCAGCTCGTGGGAAGAATTTAAAGATTGTTTATTCCAAGTCATTTGGGAATGAGACCTACACGAGCAATTCTTTGCATTGACTTGGGATGGAACTGTCATAGTGTACAATGAGAGATTTGAGCTCTTGTTGTGATGACTGAGGAGAACTTTTGAAGTTGTATTGAAAGGGAAATTCATGAAGTGTTTAAAGCCCGACATACGTGCAACACTTCGACCGCTGAGATCACGAGACTTGGGAGAAATTATGAAAGTAGTGCAGTTGGTTAAAGATCATAATGTCACCGAACAAACTAATAGGAGCAACATAGGTGGAGCACCATACCGAACTACGACAACCACAACGATACAAAAAGCTCAAATGGTTGAAGTTCAGAGAATCATGAGTCACGACCGAGAGTGACACTCAAGTGTGTTACAAAGACAGATTTAGGAGAAATGGGCCAAGGGGTTGTGTTTTCGGAGTGAGGACAAGTTTATCCTAGGACACCATCGCAATGATAGAACATTATAAGTTCTCATAGTGTGTGACAAGGAGAAATGAGATGAAAAAACAGAGACGGCGGTGGTGGAGGAAAAGGAATACCCTCACTTTTTCTAATCTAGAGGACAAGCAATATTTGGGGGTGGCCTAAAGGCAATTTAGTCTTTTATTATTTATAAGAGTTTAGTATAAATAGACCCTAACAAGTTTAGGGTGAGGTATGCATGACATTGGGTTTTTGAAACTTAGGATTAGGGCTTGGAGAGATTTCTTACCTCTCAAATTATAGAATTTGGGAGAATATCACCTACTTCTCAAAATGTAAGTGTTTATCTTTGTATTTGCGTTGTTTTGAAATAGTAAAAAAAAGAAAATTGCTTTGCACTAATTTCTATGGATAATTAGTTTAGATCGTATCAAATCGTATCAGAGTGATCGATTTCAAGGAGAACAACTTAAAAATCGCAGCCACATTCGTTCGTGACCTAGCTTCGCGAAATAGTCGTGATCCGAGCAATTTGGGAGGACAATTGAAGGGACTGCGATATAAAGGTGTTGGGAAGACCTAATCGTGCATCGCTTTCATGACTGAGCCATGTGATATAGTCGCAAGTAGAGCTCCTGGGAAGAGGATGAACGGATTGCGACATACTGAACTCCTTCATGATTGAATGTCGCACTGCAGTTGAGGGGATCATGGCGTGCAAGCCTTCGTGACCGAATCCCACGATACAATCGAGATCAATCTGGGTGGAAAGCGATGAAGTGCCCAAACGATACAGTCGTGACTTGATCTAGTAGGAAAGCCAACTGAGATCACAACATACACTAACCAATCGCGGCGTATAGGATCTCCCTCGCATACTTTCATGATCGCGATAAGGGCTAGCTGGAAAGCCGCCAACGGAATCGTTGTCAGAGACGCACAATTTTGTGACTGCATATTGTGACAGTCGTGATTTGGCTTCATTTTAGCTAACCTGGGAAAACCACAGTGGGATTTCATCATTCAATATTTCTACCCATGTAATAAAAAATCATCCTGAAATAATTAATGACAGCTAAGAAAATAGAAGTTCTAGAGAAGAAATTAAAGAAAGAGTTGTCACAAAAAATTTGAAATAAATAAGTGTTTCTTGTTTATAGAGGAGTGTTTCTCATCCATTGAGGGACGGTTCGAGCGGAGATTCGTGACCCTGAAAGAAATGATGAAAAAAAATCATAGAGTTTCACATCAAACCGCTTTCGCCAGTAGCGTGATCAACAGGAACGAACATGAGTAGCAACAACTAGAAGGATTCGTGTGACATCAGGGCACCATCGCTACTTTAGGCAGACTAAGAGCTGCGATATTGAGCAAGGAAATCAAGAGCAAACTTAAACATCATCACTTCGAAGAAATGGTGTGACATTCGAACGGCTCAAACAAACAGAAGCAAACATGATCAAACAAAGGAGTCAAGCATGGATTCGAGCAGCACAACATGAGGTTTGGAACAAGTGACAACATGCAAAATAAGATGGTGTACGATTCAAAGTTGGAGAAGATTGCTTCGAAAAATTTTGGGCTCGAATAGAAAATCACAGTGGGAGGGACCCCGACGAAGGGTTGCCTCCAACTGTGTCAGTGTCTTTTGCTACACGAGCCTTCCATGCGGAAGGCAATTCAGAAGTAACAATGGGAACGAGACAGATGGAGAAGAGAGAGGGAGTTTTTAAGGGACTGATTTGGACACTATAGAGTATTCAGAAGAGAGACAAGATTGTTGTTTTTCATGGTGACACAATTTGTGCAAGACGTTGGTGACACTGAAGACTATCAAGGAAGAGACATGATACAAAGTTGGTAAAGATTTTAGGGATCGATAAGATGGTGGATGAGTTGTTTGGGGCAGCAATATTCATCAGGATTGACTTAAAGATGGCGGATGAGTTGTTTGGGGCACCAATATTCACCAGTTGTTTAGGGATCGATAAGATGGTGGATGAGTTGTTTAGGAAACAACAGTTTTTCACCTTAAGGACAAGATGTTTTTTTGGAAGGGGAGTAATGTTATGATTGCACCTAAGTACAATTTAATCTTTATTAGCCTAAGAGCAGTTTAGATTTCATTAGCCTAAGGGCAACTTAGTCATTTTTCATTTATTATTGTTTATTATAAGTAGAGCTAATAAGTTAACGATTGGGATTATGTAGAAGATTGTTGTCTTGAGTCTTAGGATTAGGTTTGGGAGAGATTTTCTACCTCTTGAATTTTAGGATTTGAGAGAGATCTACCTCTCAAATTGTAGGTGTTTATCTTTATATATTTGTGTTGTGTTATTTAATTAACCTCCTAATTTTTTTGTGGAAAATTAGTTTGGATCGTAACAAAGTAATGAGATGCTCTTTCATGCTCATTAGCAAGTTGATTCGATCAAATAAATTTTGTTCTTTTTTAATTTCTTTTCGCCCATCTTATAGCATACTATATATGTTTATTTTGTTTGTGTTTTCCACATTTTTTTCAATTTATTGCTACTTTTTTAATTTTCGTCTCAAATTATTTTTACTTAATTTTTTTATGAAGATTTCCATAATGCTTCCACATCACCAACTATGAAAAAGGTACCAATTAAATATATCGGGCATTCTTAATATGTCAAAAAAAACGTGGATGATGATTGGATCACATGAAAAAGTAGGCTTCATGTATATTATGCCAAAACAAGAAAAAGAAAACAGGCAACATATACTCCCCACACGTCAACAAAAATGATTATCAAGATAATGCAAGATGATGTAGCTAGCAACCGTTCATGGGAAGAGGAAAGACATGGAGAGCACGACCGCAAGAGAGAGAAAGAGGGTGGAGGAAGGCAGTTAGGTGATGGGAGAAAAGAGGACTTGAGAGATGGTTAGGAAGGCATTAACATACACATTTTTTACTTCAAAACAAGAGGTGGCCAGCGGGCAGACAACCTAGATAAAGGTTCTTGCAAATCAACAATTACAGTATGAGCAAGTTACTTTAGCAGCGCCCCTTTTTTTTGGGAAACATGGGGCATGCAAGTTACCCCATTATTCATATTTTTAAAAATTAATAATAACAATTTTATCAATTACTAATTCTTATTATTATTACTTTATTTGCGCATGTATGTATGAATGTTTGTGTATACGTATGAGAGAGTATTTGTGTGCAAACTCCTTTGTGAATTTTCTTTCTTGCGCAAGGTAAATTTTCACTCTCCTTGCTTCAAGCAATATGAGAGGTCTTCTAGGACCATTTTGGGTTTTTCGATGCATTAGGACAGTCAGTTTGGCAAAATAAGTGATGAGGCAAAGATGTTCAACTTCTTCTAGTGAAAGTTAGTGTCTGCCAGCCTTTATTGTAGTTGCATTGAACAAAGTTCAAATTATGAATCACATTTGGAGGTCAGCATATGTAGATGTAGTGTCGTGAATCAAATTTTGCGTGCTTAATTCAAATTTATCTTAATAATGTATAATTATTTAGAAATGTCATTGATGATTTGGAAAGTTCTTTCTTTTTGTCTTTCATTTTAAACATCAAAGAAACTAACACCAACAAGTCATCAAGTTTAGCCGTCATTTGTATGTTATAAAAACAGAACTTAAAACACCATTTACAAAATTGTTATTTAAAGATTGTAGAGAAATAAACAGGTGGCATCTGCTTACAATCCAAAATTGCTTAAAATATATCAATGAACCAAACAACCACTTATGCTATTAAAGAAAAGTTTACTTACTTGATCGAACATATCAATATATACTTGTTGCAGAGTATGAGAACTACAGAATTGATTGATCTCGTGATGAATCTTATCATATATCCATGTCTTATCATAGTTTACACCATAATTCAGAAGAGTGTCATATACATGTCCCTTATTAAGGCGATTCACGACCTGCTCAGTACAGAATTGACTTATTAGAACCTAAAGGTGTTATTAACGCAGCAAAACTATACACACAATACTTTCATAGCTCCATGCATTAATTTAAAAAGGAAAATAAAGGGCACCTCTATTTTATCAAAGCTGATCATTACTCCACCTTTTGTTCCACAAGGAATATCTCTTACCTATCAACTCAAAGTAAAGAGGTAAATAATATTAATACTAGATAATTTTTAATGAAAAACAAATTTGGAGAAGGAAGAATCAAACACCTTGAATAGAATAGATTAAATTTCAAAAGGAATGCATCAAAGCAACATATAACTGACATTCCTTCTAATTCCTTTCATGAAATAAACAAAATAGTAAAAATAGAAAAATAAAACATATACCAGATCTGTTTGAATGGTCACTTGGATGGGCTCAAATTGGGTGATTAGTGGCAATTTCAGATGAAAGCCTAGCAACAACAAGAGATTCAATAAGTCAAATAGCATATCTAAATAAAGAAATCTAATAATCAGATGTCTCTAAATGAGAAAACCTGGACTAGTGATTGAATTCAATAAAGCACCACCCCTCCAGTATGCACCAACATGACCCTCGGGGACTTGATGTAATACAGAATAACTCCCATTTGTTGAGAACGACGTCGAAAGAAAAATCTATACATGTCATCGCAAATGATATGATTAAAGCTTAATAATTAATAAACTTCAATAGGACTTGATGTAATACAAAATAACTCCCGTTTGTTGAGAACGACGTCGAAAGAAAAATTTGTACGTGTCATCGCGAATGATATGATTAAAGCTTAATAATTAATAAACTTCAATAGCACTCGATGTAATACAGAATAACTCCCGTTTGTTGAGAATAATGTCGAAGGTGTCATCGTGTATGATATGATTAAAACTTAATAATTAATAAACTTCAATAGAATTATCAAAAATGCAGGAATCAAAACAATAGTGTTTCAAAAGAGAAGATGATAACCAGCTTATGAAAAATAAGAATAACTGCTTTAATAAAATATCTTTTCACTGTCGAATTCAAATTTTCATAACAGTCAGATAAAACAAATATTTATTATTGCTAGATCAAATTATATGCCATCTTAATCTACACACATCAATTATACATGTAAACCTAATTTAACTCCTTACATTCCAGGTGTTGAACCCCATATGTTATCCACAAGTTTCCCAATCAAATGCTACTACAATGGCAAAGACAAGAAATTTATTCGAAATGTCCTGTTTAAATAAAAACAATATGCTAAATTCACCGTCCATTACCCCAAATGTAGCATCTGTAACATCAAAACAGTCTAAGATGGCCTCACAATTACTTGAGTTGTGACAAAAGGAAACATACGCACAAAAATAAGGTCACAGACAAGTCTAAACACACACAAATATTCTTAAGAATATCATGCATCTATCTACACAAACACACACGCACACAGAATAAATCTAAAAATGTTAAAATATAAATAAAAACAGTAATAATAAGATATAAATAATGTGCCGCAAGTCGTGGCCTGTTGGTTGGCGGGGTTCACTGTAAGTCCCCTCAGGTCACGGGTTCGATCCCCAGTGGCGTTGGGTTCTTTAATATTTAGGCACATGGCGCAGGCTCTCATCATGGGGCCTAGCGCATGGGAAATCGGTATTTGGGCCTCTGCCAAATACGGATTTCCTTTTGAAAAAGAATAATATATATATATATATATAATAAATAATATTGGATCCCCACACATATATAAAAATGAAGATTTAATTAAAATAAGGATTCTTTCATGAAAAAAAAATGAAGATTTAATTAAGAATCCACTGTGTTTCCGAACTAGTATGAATGAATTATGGATCCCTTTGAAGAACGTAACATTTTTCAAGACTTAAGTTAAATTGTGATGAAAAAGTGAATCTAAATTTAGAGATAATGATAATAAATTAAAATACTCGCATGGAATTCTATTCCTAAAACACAACCATAGGCTATTTAAGATAGAGTCAAACATGTTTGTTAAAGACCTTTGGTGAATAGTCATGCTCCATGCCATAATGTCATTGTAAATGCACCTTGTAGTCATTTGATTGGCGTCTATCAACATGAAATGATTGAGCTAGTTTCATAAGGGAGTTTCCTTAGTAAGAATATTACATATAGCACCATAGAAAGCCCTTGTGAATGAAGATGAAAGCAAAGATGCCATCACAGTAAAGTTGTTGGACATAATTAGGGTCGAACTTGATGCATGCAATTAAATGGAGCAATTCAACTCCCCTATTGTGGCAATGGAAAGCAAGTGCAACAAGCAAAACAACAACAAAAAATACAATGCCACCATATTGGAGGAGAGATTCAATATCTAGCCATCATAATATGATGCAAGGGAGGCAATAGCCGCACTAAATGATTGTCACTTATAGGAGAGAAGTAAAAATAATCACCCGACATTGCTATGGAGCTCGATTAGTGTTGGTTGCATGCATGTCCATGACATCATTTAGAAAAATTTGGTAACAAAAAAACAACGCAATATCAAGTGGCAAGCATCATTGTACAGGCAAGTGTGTGGCAACCCATCTTCCCTTTCAATTTTGTTTGGTTTGTCAAGAATAAATCCTCTGCTCATCACCACAACCGACAAGAATGGGGATAAGCCATGACTTGAATCTTGCTAGAGAAATAAAATAGGGGAAAAAATAGAACAAAGAATGTTATTTAAACAAATAAAAGGAATTCCTTTGATCTATCTAGTTTGAGAATTTACAAAACATGAAACCTTTCCAGATGTTTCAAGATTCACGTGGGATCCTACAACCTGGTCAACGTTCATGCTTGTCTTGAGATTAATGTTGATTAGATGAAATTTTGTGGAAACTCAGTAATGCTCCCCTTTTTATATATTTATTTAAGAAGTCTAAAATATCACCTTTTCATTTTCCATGAATTCTCCTCATCTTTTTTTAATTAACCATCTATATTCCATTAAAAGTCTATAATGGGAAGGGTTATAGTGTTGTCTCTACCTTCTTGGCTTTTAAAATTTTCCTCAATATTTGTGAGGAGAAATGCTCAAATATCACTATATATTTTTCAAATGTGTATATATGGGGCTTGAGCAAAGCATTGGTATGAACCAAGAGACCACATGATATTAGCCCTAGAGAAAGAAACCAAAGTAAAATGTCTGCTTATTCTTTTAAAAAATAAACTGATAGGATAAGGAAAGTTATAGTATTAAATTAATTCTCAGAGATTTGAATTGATTTAAGTTGATTGTGGATTAAGCCACTACTTAATCTACACGGCTAATAAAGATAAATCCTCCACATAAACATTGTTTCTTTGACTTATGTGACATATATAAGTAAAGTTCCTTTGCCTAAAAATAACTCATGGCTTGGGTTAAAGCTTCTCCGATGAGAGTCCGCCAAAGTCTTAAAAGTAGAAGAGAGGTCCACCCTCAATATTTTGGATCCTCTCAGACTCTTATTAACATGGATATAAGCATATGTGAGTCATGAGGTTGAAAAAGATGTGGTCAAAGGAATCAACATCTTCAATCCTTCTAAAAAGCATGCACCAATATTTTTAAAAGTGCACTTCACGTGCAAAGCCAAACGATGCACATGACACCCGCTTCGCTTAGCTGAAGCGCACTTTGAAGCGTTGAAGTAAAGTGTTTAGTGAGTTCGCAGTTTAAAGAGAGAGAGGGAATAAAGAGCTTCTAATTTAATTTAAGTTGTTTTAAGAATTTGATACTTTATTAGTTTATTTATGCTGTAAAATTTAGATTTTCTTTTGAGTACTTTTTTTTTTGTAATTTTTTAACTTTTGACTGCTGCAGTAAACTATTAAAAATTGTTTAAAGTTTTAATTTGTAAGTTCTCCGTCAATGTTTGTCTGCAAGTTAGAAATTATACTACATTATTTTCGAGTTTATATCAATTTTTAAGTTATACTTTATATATTATAATTGCTAATAAAGCTATTTATACATTCATAATTGCATGTAAACTATTAGCACTTTAGTTCATAAAAAAATGTCGATTTTAATTTACGCTTTGGACTTTGAAGCAAAAATAAAGCGTTCTGAATCACATTGTACTTTGAGCTTTAATAACACCAACATGCACCAACCACTTCAAGAAATACACCTAATAATCAAAAAGTATCACGAGTCAAAATCACTTCGCCTAAGGATCCTCCTAGTTTGGGTTAAAGTGAATTAAATAAGCGCTCTTCAAGAAAATATGTGGGTCAAACCCTCCACATTTTAGATCCTCACGGGCTGTGGTTAAGAAGTATTCTCAATAGAAATCCGCATAGACTAGAAAACAACTATTCAAAAACTCTACATAGACTTAAGACGAACATTGATCTTAAGACGAGATTAACCAGATAGCATGCTTAGTTAAAAGTAGCTTGGCAAGGCCTCAATGAAGAACAAAAAGATAATGGCTCTTTATAAAATAAATAGTCTTCCTCGTCCCCCTATTAAGCTCGTTTAATGCATTGAACACTACTATTGTTGCTTGTTGAGATTTATGTACCCATCATCATCGGCCAATGACCACCAAAAAATTATCATCTATCAAACAACATCAAAAAAAGATCAATGTGGTAAGTTCTAAATCGTCCGCTGCTGATTGGTTGTTACTGCCATGATCACTCTCCTTATCTCTTGATGCAACCGATGATGAAACAATCCAAGTATATCTACTTCACATGACAGAAATGACAGAACTTTATTGCCTATCCAAGAAGCAAACACAATCCCAGCAGCATTTTTCAATATTCAATTTTTTTCCCAGTGCCATTACGAATCTTTTAAATGCTCTATCAAAGTTACAATTATCATGCCTTTTACTATATTTCATAAAGAGGGCAATGACAAGACTCTCTGGCTCCTAATTGTGCCTTTAAAGTAGCTACAACCATCCTCCAACAACCACAATGGTGATGGAAGCCCGATCACTACCATTTCCACTAGTGAGACCGCCATAAAAAGTTCACTGAAAAAATTCACATCATCCAAAGGAGTTCCCTGCATAATGAAGCCATTTGAATCAACTTGATTCACCCAGCCTGGGTCAATCAATTTGAGTTAGGACTGGAAGATCAATAATTGCAAGGCAAGCAAACTCTTCCATCTCCACGATCATTTTGTGCTATTCATGTTTCGTTCCCGTGATTTGGTCATACAAATAGAAATCCAAACGAATGACTTCACTTCATCGAATCAAGTTGATGTATTCTAATAAGTTTGTGGAAACACCCGGGAGCTGAGCCCTCCTAACCTAAGCATACAAAGCCAAATAGCACGCCGCGTGTGTATAACTTGCTATTAAAGGGGTTATGGTACTCTCCTCTCACAAAGAATATTAAGCACGCTCTTGTTAAATTTGTTTTTTCTTGTTCTCAGCATAGATTGAATTAAGAAAAATAGGGTTCAACTGTTGAATGAGAACGACACGGCAGTTTCAAAAAACAAACCAAAAAACATTACACAAATCCAAGAATGCACGTCCCTCGTCTATCATCCTCCATAGAACCTAATCATCTGGAAGTACCCAATATGGGTCCTCCAATACAGACACAAAAAATCCAGCTCGTCTCTCAAATAGGATAGCCACATCATGCACTGAACCCTACGAAACATAAATCAATTGAGATCGGATGTCTTACGATCGCGAAAGCCACGAAGATGACCGCCAACAGCAGAAATGACGTAGCATCGGCATCCGACGGAGGAGGATTCCGCTGGCCCCGGTAGTTCTGCTGCTGCTCCCGTCGTTGCTCCGGCGATGGTGGTCGAGGCGGCTGCGTCTGCATGGTTTTTGCAAAGACTAGTCCAGATGATTTTCTTTCCTTGATGGCGGGGGAAGAGAGAGGACCGAAGGGCAGAGGAGTGAGAGAATGCGGGCTCGCTAGTAAGATAACACTGGTTTATTTTAGTATTATTCAAAATAATTCATAAATAATCTCAAAGTAATTCAAGAATAAACTTCATGGTATGCAGAGCTGCATCAGAAGTCTGCACATAAAATACGGTCTGATTAAAGAGGGTTTGCATAAATGATCTCATTAATTTTCATATATAAAACCCAAACCATTAATATTAGATATGTACCACCCATTTTTTCATAATTCCCTATTTCATTCACTTGGTTAGCCAATTTTCAACCCATCAGCCACATGGCATTGACTCCCCCAGCATGTTTCAACCTGGAGAATTGGATAGGGTATATATGTAATATTAATCTTTTTGGGTTTATTTTGGTATAAGACTCCTGGGGTTTGAATCCTCTCTGACACATTTGGCCTTCAGAATGTGGTACTCGAATTCTTAGACACATTAGGAGTGGTTGTAGGCTCATATAATAGCTTCTGACGATTTAAAAAAAATATAATATATATAATTACTATCACCAACTTTAAAAATTTAAAATTCATGTTTTCATGTCTAAGTAAAATTGTATAAATACAAATATCAATGTTTAGGCGTTGGATATTTAAATATGTAAGTATTGTGTGGCACTTATGTGAATTTTCCTAAACTTAAATTGACAAATATATTTTTTTTGAAAATGAAAGCTTAATGGGCGATTGTATGTTGATGCTGTGAACGAGTTCCTCCTTAAGTTATACTCCATGCAAATATTTTTTCTTGCAATTTAGTGAATATAATTGTTAGTGCTAAAAAATCTTGTATAAAATCTCTCCCTCTTTACCAATACAATCCTCTTATTTCTTCATCATTTCTCTTCCAATTTCAATCTTCAAAACGAATGTAACCCTTTTAGAGGTTGTCTCGCAATGAATTAGATTTAAGTTATTAGGATTTAGTAAATCTGGTAAATTCGGATTTACAAAATCATGTCCAAAGAACTGTCTAGCAATAGATTTAATAAATCTTGTAAATCTAGTAAAAGTATTTGGCAAGGTTTAATATATTACATTGTTCTCACATGTCCTTCCTTGCATCGCAAATCCCGTAAATTCGCTGATTTGCGGGATTTAGTAATGATATACCACCAACAAATTGTCATTATTCGACACGAATCTCGAAGCATGACACTAATCTCGAGACAATATTTTGAGCAATGTATGTTCAAACCTTGATAAAAATTCATCCAGAGTTCTGATTTCAACAAACTTATAGTCAAACTGACCGGCTCAATGAGAGAAACCTAATGATATTAAAGTCATTCTAATCCAAGTAAAATCAAGCCTAGATCAAGTCATTAAACCATTCTTTGAATATTTTTTAACACATTTGGAAGATCAAACGGGTGTCGAATCTAACAAGTTTATAGTCAAATCGAGCGTCTCGACAAGACAAATCCAACAAGCCCAAGATTGTGCAATTCCAACATCATGAAGATACTCAAATGTCTATTAAACGTTGTTTGATCGGAGGAAGCTCTCGGACCGTCTGATTAAAATGATTCATGTTCATTAATGACACCCAAAACACTATAAATAGACTCTCATCCCTCACATGAGGGGAGAGACTTGAAGCTTCGGAAAAAGCTAGAAGCTTTGAGAAGGAACTGAAGTCCAGCACGATCCCGACCATCGTCAACCACCATCGGTCGTCATCGACACCCGTTGATCACCGTCAGCCACTATTGACCGTCACCATCAATCATCGTCAATCACCACCAACCAGACACTGTCATTCATCGTCGTGGGACATGAACACATCACTACAGTCCATGTGTCAACAACGACTTCGTGGTTTACAGCTCGTGCAGCTCTCGACTTCGACCCACGCAGCTCTTCCATAACAGGTTACGGCCGTCAAGCAAAAGCTCTGACCAACAACTTTGGATAGGCCAACCATCCTCAGTGGATTTCATATGACTTTGTTACGGGTTTGTACCATCGAGCATCTCCGATTATACAACTAAGAACTGGTCATACATCCTCAATTGATTATCCTTTCAACCATGCCCCTGGAAGTAAAGCTCAAAAGGCAAACCCAATAAGAAACTACCATGCGCTGGAAGACAAACCCAAGAGGGTATTCACTGAAAAACCTCAGTAGGCTATGAGCCTTAGAAGGTATCGGTTCAAGCTTCAATAAGACATAGGTCTGAGAGGGCGCAACCCAAGAAGACAAGAACCACAAAAGATACATGATTCTTCATTTTATAAAAATCTTTTGTGTTAACTTTAATTGCAGAATTTTGCACAATTAAGAAACGACAACAGCCGTTGAAGAAACAACGAAATACATTAGCAGCATCTATAAAAATCACATCAAATGATAAAAAATGCTACAAAGACCAACATATACTTGTACAAGAGCAACAACAAATTTGCTCATCTTCAAGTAGAGTTGACATTGCCTCCCCAAAACCCAAATATTTTAGATGATCATTAGGGGGCATCCAGATATCACCAACACATGAACATGAAAATATTTATGCTAAAGCGCAACAGGAAAATTACATTTCTTGAATAAATGTGCAAGATCAACACGAGAATGTCCTGCGGAATGCACGACTCCAACGAGAAAAAAGATTCTGTAACTTGCTTGCTACACAGAATAATGACAACTTTCCTCTTCGTCACAACGGAAAAAAAGATCTCATTGCTTGCTTGCTACACAGGGCGGGGACTACTTTCCTCTTAGTTGCAGCTCTTCCCTGCAACTCTGACCATAAATCTGTGTCGCAATTTTTCATCTCAACTCTGTGCCACAGTTATTCACCTCAACTATGTGCAGCAATTTTTCACCTCAACTTTTTGTTGCAATTCTTCATTGCAACTCTTTGCAGCAACGCGTCGCTATGGTGCATCGCCGTGAGCACTGTCGCAAAGCATCTTGTCACTACGACGCTCCACCACTATGCATCGTCGTGACGCACTGTCGCAATGCTTCGGGTCGCCCTGACGCTCCGCCACAATGCATCACCGTTACGCATCGCTGCAATGCATCGTATCACTGCAACGCCCTGCCGTGATGCTTCACTTCAACACGTCGACGCAAAGCTCCATCACAATGCATCGCACCTACGCACCGTCACAACACATCGCATTGTCACGATGCCCCGCCACAATGCGTCACGTCGCCGCAACGCTCCGATGCAACGCATCTCCTCGATGCATCGCATTGCCGCAATACATCACGTTGCTGCGATGCCCAAATGCGACACACTTCACCACGATGCACCGCCACCACAAGATGCATCGCTGCATCTCCCAGCCTCGACGCTCCAATGCTCCACAACAACGCATGGCACCAATTCTACACCACATCTCACTCTCCGCCATCTCCTTTAAACGTATTTATAGGCTAAAAAAGTGCAGCTATTAAATACTAATTATTAAAAAAAAACTTATCATATTCTCTTTAATGAAATGCGCCACTTCTTAAATTTTTTGCAGCACGCCTTCCCCGTACGCTTCAGATTCCCAGTTTCTGCTCGACCTGGCGGGCCAAGACCAGCGTCTTTTCAACTTCGAGCGGGCTGCGCGCCAGACGATCCAACCAGGTAAAAATTTTTCTATCTTAGCTGGGATTCGAACCGCACTCCCCAACATGAAGATGAAGAACACTAATAATTGATCTTATATTAAGCACTTCGTATCTTAAGGATATAAATTTTTCTTATGCTAGAGGTAATAAAGTAAGGTAACATAAAGGCATACATATACACAACAACAACAATAAAAAAGGCTCCGGATCTTGACATTTTCGGACGAAAAAAATGATCTCGTCCGAAATAGGGTGGCAACTGATACACCGCTAACAAATTTTCATTATCTGTCACAAATCTCAAAGCATAACACAAATCTCGAGATAATATTTTGAGCAATGAATGTTCAAACTTTTTATAAAATTTCATCGAGAGCTCCGATTTCAACAAACTTATAGTTAAACTGACTGACTTGATGAGACGAACCTAATGCTATTAAAGTCATTCCAATCAAGTCAAATCAAGCCTAAATCAAGTCATTAAACCAATATTGAATGATTTTTTAACACATTTAGAAGGTCAAATGGGTGTCGAATCTTGCAATTTTATAGTCAAATCGAGCGTCTCGACAAGACAAATCCAACGAGCCCAAGATTGTACAATTCTGACATCATTAACATCCTCAAATGTCCATAAACGTTGTTTGATTAGAGGTATCTCTTTGGACAGTCTGATCAAAATGATTCATGCTCATGCATTAATGACACTTATAATATTATAAATAGAAGCTTCAGAGAGAACTGAAAGCACTGAGAAGAAGCTGAAGTCCAACACCTTCCCAACCGTCGTCGACCGCCATCGGCCGTCATCGACACCCGTCGATTGCCGTCAGCTTCCCGACAGTCGTCGACCCCCATCGGTCGTCATCGACACCCGTCGATTATCGTCAGCTTCTCGACCATCGTAGACCACCATCGGCCGTCATCGACACCTGTCGATTGCCGTCAGCCACTGTCGACATTCACCATTGATCACCACTAATCATCGTCGATAACCACCAACCAGACGTCGTCAGTCATCGTCGTGTGACATGAGCTCATCACTACGGTCTATGTGTCAACAATGACCTGCGTGGTTAACAACTCGTGCAGCTCTCAACTTCGACTCACACGGCCTATGAACGTCATTCATACTTGTCTTTATCGTCTATGTGGTTCATAGCTCGCGCATCTCCTGACTTCAACCCCCATGGCCTACGAACGTCATTCATACTCATTCTTACGACCTACGTGGTTCACAACTCATGCAGCCTCGACTTTGAGCCCCATGACCTACGAACGTCATTCACACTCACCCAAACGACCAATGCGGTCATCAGCTCATGCAACTACCGATTCCGGCCCTCGCGACCTACGAATATCATTCATATTTGCCCCTAAGCCCTATGTAGTTCACAGGTCGTGCACCTTCCGACTCTGGCCCCAACGGCCTTCAGACATCATTTATATTTGCCACTATGTTTTATGTGATTCACAGCTCCTGCAACTGTTTACTACGGTTTTTTTGGCCAATCAACGCTTCTGGAACAATCATCTATAACACTCACGATAGACTACTATCTCTACAACAATCAATAATGATCATTGCAACCAGTTGCCGCTAAGAACAATGTCCAGATTATAGTTATACAATTTTGTATTTCTATCTTCCTTAATTTATGAGAGGAATGAACCTGTGTACTCATCATTCATAGTGAATTATTTTAACTTGGCTAAGCCCCTTGTTTTTTCCCCATTTCAAGGGTTTTCCACGTAAAAAAAATGAGGTGTCTCCTCCTATTTACTTCTTCTCCTTTATCTGTGTGTGTTAAATTCTCTGCAACGCCAAGGCGATAATCCATTACTCTACTATCACAAATTTTCTAGCAAGCATCAAGTGAATCCCAGATTTATGACTTAAATCCACAAAATCCAGATTTATCAAATCCACGGCTTCATTATGTCCAAAATGACCGCTTGCCAATATTTAGCTTATATCCTACTTAAATCCATATATAAATTTGTTGTCAGACAGCTTTTAGTGACAAGAGATGATAGTACCTGATACTGATATCCATCAAGTGCAAAAAACGTATGTATTTTAGTTATATGAGATGTCGGTATGTGGAAGCGGATATCTTAACAGTGACCTATCGATTGACTATTTACACTTGGGGAGGCTTTTTATTTTCAGCCGTTCATTTTCTTTAAGATTCGTGAGGATAACTCTAGTGTATACAACAATACATGTAAATGCCCCCCCCCCCC